TCTTGAGTTGCCCGGGGTCTGCCAAAGAGCAGTACCTGGATTGCAAAATCGCGGGGTGCCCGCGAACATAGTAAAGTGTCAAACAGGCCGGAGCTACCCCATCAAGACCACCGTGACTGCAGCGAGCCCAACTTCCAAGGCTATCAAAGGAACCTCGCCAGTGTGCTGCATATCGGTGTCAACACCAGGTACAGCCTGCGGTGAGATCCTGCCTCGGCCTGGGACCATGACTGCAACCGGCACAGCAGTGGAATCTGCACAATGGCGCTGCAGATTGCCCCTAGCACCTTAAACAAAGGTCCAGTGGTCCGCAGCTCACGGTCGGAAATTGCCACTGTCGTTCTTCTGAGTTGTGGGCCACGGACACACCCAGTGCCTTGAATTCAAGACATTCCAACTGAGACGAACTTCGCTGCAAAACAAGTCGGCACGGCGGGAGGCAAGGCTGGCTTGAAGTCATAGCCCCAATATACATATTCTCCCGTCCTCACTGGGTGGTCATCATCTGGCCCAAGGGGCCCAAGACCGTCCGATGCAACACACTCTTCTGAGGCAGCAACTCTTCTTCACTCTCCCGCGCTTCATTCAGGCACAGCCCGTCGAGACAGGGCTCCTGGCCAGCAAGCATCGAATATCCCGCAAGTGCCTCGAAGCGACAACAGGCCGGAGCGGCGGGCTCCTGTGTCGACTCCTGCTCACCCTGTGAGGTTGGCGAAGGCGAAGACTGAGCCAAGATCATCCTCAAACGAGCTGCCCTACTAGCTGCACCAGCACGGCCAACACAGACGAGGCTCGTAGGGGCCAGGTTGGCGGCCATCATGCTTTGTGTTGCGGGCCTTCGTTCTGCGCTCATGCCACGGATCGGCAAAGTGTCTGGAGAAGAACGGCTGAGGTCTTCGCACTCCGAGCCTTCCATACCTAGCATCGAAGCAAAAGCAGTCAAAGCGCATGTTTGGCACGGCTCCCTACGCGCTTGTCTCTGAGTCAGCGCACGTTGCCATCTGCTGTTGGGGCCAGCCTGTCTGCAAAAGGACACTGAGCAGACGAACGCCTCTTCACACGATGCAAAGCCAAGGAGCCACCAGCAGTCCACGTGGGCGGGAGGGACATTCTCTGTCGCAGCGTTCCGGCTTGCAAACATATGACATTTGAGCCAAGACTAACGGCATGCAGATGGACTTGGCTGACAGATTCTCCCGTCCGCTTTTCGGCAGGCCCCTACCGGGGCCAGTTCAGTTTCGCAGGCACAGCACGGCATGGCTTGAGAGTCAGCGCACTCATCCTGGCCCGGGCCGCCGGGGAGATTTGAGAAGAGGGGCCACGACAGCCAGGGGAAGGAAGCGTAGCAGGGAAACGGTGGAGAAAACGCATCAAGCGGATCTATTGCTGCGCAGCACTGCAAATTCCACGAGCGTGGAGGATGCTTGGCATAATTGGAACGCTTCCTGGGTGTATTTCCATTCGGGCAGGCACTTCGCAAGAAAGCCGGTAGAAACCAGTACTGATCTTGCAGGGTCGGGACACAACGTATGCACCCAACAACCCATTCTGAACGTGCTGGACAGGGGACCTTCAGATACGAGGGGAGGGGGGCGGGCAGTAAAGCCATGGGGTCCCCTCCTAATATATAGTGTTTCTGAATCAATCATTTGCGTGGTGGCGGGGCCCTTGCTTCGCTCTCTTTGCAAAACGACCTAAAGGTGCTCCTAGACGCGTTATTGACCTGGTTTCCATTTTACTGAGGTGATTTGGTGAACGACAACTCCCGCAAGCTTCACGGAGTTAGCTTTGGGGACATGTGTGAACAACAGCCCCGTGCTGAGCATTTTGCGCCGGCTGGTGGCGCACATGTGGCGCCCCAGAATGCGTCTCAACCGCGCCTGGATGGACTCCAGCCTGAGATCGGGGGAGAGCAGACAATGATGTGAGTGACTCTTCAAACGAGTTGATGACAGGAAAGAGACGGGCATGAGAAGAAAAAAGAAGCCACGAGGCCTCTGCAAACACGTTCCATGTTGTGCAGGGTTGGACGGGCCGAAGGACTCTATGTGTCTGCTGATTTCATCCGACATCCCTTTCATGGTCGAAGACTGACACCACATCCGTACAAATGCCCATGGAGCCGTGAAGTCATGAATGAATGGGTCATAGAGTCGCAGAGTCTTAGAGTGTTAGAGTCTGAATGGGCAAGGGGCCTCCTGCCCTCTGCTTGCGGCCAGAAGCCTGAAGCTTCAACTCAGCACTGGTACACCAGACTGCTGAGAAAGGATACACAGCCCATGGCACCCAACTCGATGCCTCGGGGAAGTCCTGCGAGAAAGCTCCAATGTTGTGGCGTCGCCTTTTGGCAGGCCTTGTCTGCAAGAGACCAAAACTGAGATAGCGGAGGCTCCCTGCTCTCCCAACTCAGCTCAAGATGCTGAGACGCAACTGCCTTTCCACTGCATCAAGCTCCTGATGAGCCTCTCGATTTGCAAGATGTCTGCGAAAGGAATCGAGGTGCAGCCGTATAGCGCGGTAGTGACTGAGGCTTCTCGGAGACATTGACAAGGGTCAAAGAAAACAAAAAACATCCCCGCTGATTCATCAGCAATATCCAGGTAAGCGCAAAACTCTCCCTGGCCTTTCGAATCCGACCCATACAGCAAGCAGATGTATCCTTGGGCTTCAGTCTAAGGAGAGGCCCCATGCTGCACGGTTGCTACTGCAGACACGTGTCCGCTAGCTCTCAAGCCGACAAAAATGAGGATAATAAACAAGGTCGAGTGTCACGAGCTCCGTTCATGTTACCGCCTCTCCAGGGTACACAGCGTAACTTCAAGCTTTTTGAAGCAAGGCGAAGCACATATTCACCTTGCTGCCTGGTTGCGCGGCCCACATGATCACACATACACTCGCACAAGAGCAGCACACTCACCGCCAGAGGCGAAATCAGGTCTCTTTGGCAGATGTTTCTTCCCTGTC